CATGGTATTGAGCTCGAAAGACCTTCGGTGAGATTCGTAAACAACAAAAGCTCAAGTTCCAAGGGCAAAAGCGATGTCTTTGAAGACACTTATGTAGAAGACGGAAGCCGCCAAAAGTCTCACGAACTTTCTTCATTTGGGGTCAAGAACTTTAGAAGCACAAACTTACTAGAGCATCACAGCAGATTTAATATTCCTGGGAAACTAGGATTTGATGTGGGCAATTCTTCCTCAAGTGGAGAGACAAATGCTGCCGCAAGAACTCGTGTCTATAATAGGAAAACAAAATCTACCAAAGTAAATATTGGGTATACTAAACGTGACGGTCTCGCTGCAGTCCAAACGGAGGTACTTGTAAATGAATCTCCGTGTTGGGTGGCAAAAGCAACTGTAACAGATGTAAATCTTCGAGCGAATTTGAGAGTGGGAAAGGTTCGCGACGTAAATACGCATTTTGGGGGTGCTTTTTTCTAAATGCACGTGCGTTTATTTGGAAGAGATTTCTGGTTGATGTCGACGCTCCTTAATTTGGTAGTTGATCTACTTTTTCATGTATCAATCAATGACATGTAGCTTGTTTTTGGAGACTAGCTAGTCGGTAGTTCAATCAGTCATTCAAACAGGCAGGCACGCAGCTGGCCAGGCAGTAAATTTTTGAGCTGACAGTCAGGCAAGCAGTCAACTGGTTAGCCAGTTGTTCAGTGCTTCACTCACGCAGGTATGTGTGAGTTTGATGGTCAGACAGACAATGCGTCAGCTATTCAGTCAGTCAATCAATTAGTTTTTCAGTCAATCATCCTGAAAGGCAGGCATCCAGCAAACTAATCAATCAGTCAGTAAATCATCCAGTTACATGTAGTGCACCAGATGGTTACTCGGCTGGTCAGTTGGCTCTAAAGGCACGCAAGAAAAATCACCAAGATGCTGGAATATTGAACAATCAGAACTTAACAATCAGTTAGTCAGCGAGTGAGTCGGTCGGTCTCCTGGTCATTCAGTCAGTCAATGACTCAATCAGGCAGGTAGTCGGTCAGTTGGTCTATCATTCGTTCAGTTTTTCAATCAGCTTGTCAGCAAGTTGGTCTTAATCTCTTGGTTTTACCAAACAGGAATCAGAAGAGCAAGCAAAGCAGGACTCTGGAAAAGTCGCATTCTCTAGAACATATCAGAATGACGCGAGTATTTACTTGTTTTTTAATGGGAATAAAAATTTAGCCAATTCTCTTCTCTCTGTTAGCTCGAAACGTCAGCTTTGAAACTTTACGATAGCCAATTTACGTTATCAACTCAATTGATAATACCAAATTACTTCGTGGCTGTAGTTTACTTGTAGCTGGGAGTAAAGAGGTTATATTTTCAACATTTTTGGCTTATTTCATTTCTTTTGCCCTAAGAAACAAGACAACTAATCTTTCCTACCCTCAATAAAGTCTGGCTCCTTATAATCTTTCAGATCATCTCAGTTTCCCGAGTGACTATGACATAATTACAATCAAGGCATTGAGAACATCGTCATTATAGAAAACCAACATCTTCTGCAACTCTTAGGCGATTGAAAATATTAAGACATATTGTTTCTTTCGATCGCCATATAACTGAATTTTGAAATAACTTTTTTTAATGCGTTTTCTCTTTTCTTGTTTGTTTTTTAATCGTTTTGTTTTGTATTTTATCACAGGAGGTGATGTTACTTGGCGAGGATGGACAAAGCAATTTCTGATATTTTTAGCTTTGTATTTTGATACCTGTGAGAGTACAAAAATGTAGTAAAAGATTTTTTAAGTAGATTTAAAGTGACTTTGTGGATTTTGTGGTGGAGTTCTTCATTACAGTAATGCCGCATTCACACCAAAGCTTAAACATGTTTAAAAGTTGTTTTGTTAAACACAGTTTAATTTTTTTTTTTCTTTTTAGAAACTATTTAACCGAATATTTTTTACTTGAATGTAGCACATTGGAAATGCAAGTTAGCAAGTACTTGAATCCAATGGAAAATCAAGTTTTTCAGTGCTCTGTTTATAATTTTCATTCAATGAAAACCAGTTTAACAAAACATGTTTTGCTGGTGTGAATGGGGTATAAGTCATCTGCTTTTGAGCTCTTAATTCAGATGTATGTGAAATATTCGTCTAACTATACGTAGATCAATCGTCACAACATTAATTACTTTCAGAACATTACGGCGGCGTGTTAAAGGATTCGCTTTCCATTGAGGAAAGGGACAAAGTTAAAGGAATTGGTATGAAAACCAGCAAATATGTTTTTTTTTTTATGGTCAAAAGACAGCGGTCGTTTATTCCTTTCTCATGCTCCATCGCAAGAACTACATTTCTGTTCTATATAACAGTTGCTGCAACTTTTTTCCTTGTCTTCTATACTGAGAACACCAGTCAGAAAATTAGACGACAGGGTCTCTGGTATGAAATAATCTTATTCCGAAATAAAGCTACGAAACACATCAAAAACGACTAACATAATGCTAATTGCGTCAAAATACTGATCTACTTGTAACCGACTTGACATTCGTTATAATAAATTACGAATAATACATTCGTTGTAATACATTACGAAGGTTTACTAATAACAGATTGCAGGAAAGATCATTAACTCGTGGTTTTGTTTTTCAGCGATGAAACAAATATTTCAAAATTTTCTGTTTTTTCTCAAGTTCAATGTTCTCTAGCCGATTTCCTCCTAAGTTGGCTGGCTGTTTCTTATTTTCATCCTTTAAAATAACACTACAGTGGGCCGTAACTTTTCTTAGCTTCTCACCTATTTCTCTCTTTGTAGCAAGTGATCACGCTCTGATTCAATTAGAGTGTGAATTGCCTCAGAGATGCACTTGACTCACAAAAATTAGGTGCAGAGATTTTTTCAAGGACTTGATACACAATGTCATGAACCCTTAAATGGGCTTCATCTGGCAAAGTATGTGTAGCTAAAGGCTGCTCATGATCGTGGGGGTGTGCAGCATGACCCTTAGTTAGGTGTTTCTAAAATAAATGGTTCATTCACTGAGGAACATACTTGATTACCATTGTCGGGCTTTCGCAAAGGGAATTGGATGGAAAAGGATCTTGTAGCCTCAATGCATACGCTTTAATAGAGCTTACATGGATGGTCTTTGAAGCAGGTTCTGAACTTAAATTGGTTGTTGATGGGTTGTAACTGTCACCACTTTTGTTGTTTTTGTTGATACTGATGCATGCGTGGGCGAGGTGACGTTTGTACCCTTAGTATAAACGGCAAAACAGACAACGTTGAAGCCAAAGCCTGAGTAAAAATCTGAAAGAAGGAGACAGATCTTATGGCTCTGTTCAAAGAGACTACTTCTATGCATTTTCGGAATTTAAATAACTCGTATGAGGTCCTATTCAGTGAAATTAGAAACAAAAACTTCCACAAGACAATACACAGTTCAACTCTTAACAATATAAATAACGAAGCTTTCACACTCACGGCAAATTAGTCAATAATAACCCACTAGGAGCCTGTGATGGCCTTGTCTTTGTTAGCTATCGTTACTGTCCTCACGCAAGACTGAGCAAACTTTGCGAAGCACTTCTATTGTTGCTATGTGACGTCATACTGGCAGTGCTGTCTTGACGGCGGTGCATACAAGAGAATAACGGAGTCACCCCTCCCTCCTAGTTCAAAAAGATATAAATAAACTACCAGTTCATTCCTACAGATCTGTTTCGTGATTGCCCACTCATCATGGTATTAGGGTCTGTAGGGATGAACTGGTAGTTTATTTGTCTTTTTCCTCCCACAATTTATATATATATACTTATATATCCGTGTATTTCAAATAAATTTCAACGATCTTATGAAATATTTTTCTCGCATGCAAATTTTTGTCGTCATCAGATATATTTCGTATTCTTTCGGCTATCATTGTATAATTATTGTCTTGTAACTCGGATATGTGGCACAAGAGTAGCAAACGAAAAATATGTTGAGTGTTTTTGGTCAACAAAATGCAATCCCCTGCATAAATTTTCCTTTGATATTAATGAAACCTTTTCCGGCTGTTCAGTTGATAAAACGGAGCGAAATAGTAACGGCAGAGCAAAAGGGAAGGATAATGAGTATACAAAAGTGTGTGTGAGCATACGAGAGTCTGTGTTAGGATACAACGGTACCTACGCAAAGGGTATCGATTAATCCTTTACATCCTAAGATCAGTATGCATATTCTCCATACTGTTTTCTATACATTTCCCCAGGTGCTGACAAGGAGATTTTGCAGAACAATCAAGAGCTCCTGTACTTGTTGATCATTTCCATTATTCTCGTGACCTTAATGTTTGATTCAGGAGTGATATTGTGAAGAGAAATTAGATGTTTGTCACTCTTAGGGGTTACGGGGTTAGATTGATAAAATTACTGGGGTATCTATGAAAATACAATGGTTTGCATTACTATACAAAAATATCTCTTTTTTCTTTTCTTTAAATGTGTTTAATTAGGGATGTTACACCACAATATTTCTTGACAAAAGCCTTGCAAGAAATTTCCAAAAATTTAAGCTTGGGAAAACTTCTTTTCCAAGTCACACATTAGTTTAAAAGTCTCTTGAATTGGCTGACTAATAACCTTTGAAAAGGATTAAGAATTTCCTTGAAGAACTAATCGCGTTCGAAACCTTGGCTTGTTCACTATGTTAATGACTTCGAAACTCTTATAAAGAGATAATACGCTGTCTTGTTTCAGATTATTAACCTTATATCTCTGATGAGAATTTTACAGAAATGTCTTCCTCTGTGTATCGATTCGAGTTGTCCTTCTTTTACAGGCTAGTAATTAAATAGTTCCGAGCTTTACTGGGTCTAGTTCAATCTCCCACGGAGGATTTATCCAAGTCATGGCTTTTAAGGTACGCTAGGCACCGGCCAATTTCCAAAATCAAATTTCACGTTGTCGCCCATGATCATAAATGGCGCCCATTGAGAAACTTTGTCAAAACCGTTGTTTCTCATCCACTTCTTTCCACAAAGTTCCTAGGTTTCCGTACCTTGTTGCTTCTCCATCCCTGTCGCCAATTTCTATTCTGATAGCGAGTGCTTTCTCCTGATATTCTCGGGCCTTCTCATAATGACCAAGTGATCGGAACAAAGTTCCTAGGTTTCCGTAACTTGTTGCTTCTCCATGCCTGTCGCCAATTTCTATTTTGATAGCGAGTGCTTTCTCCTGATATTCTCGGGCTTTGTCATAATGACCAAGTGACTGGAACAAAGTTCCTAGGTTTCCGTAGCTTGTTGCTTCTCCATGCCTGTCGCCAATTTCTATTTTGATAGCGAGTGCTTTCTCCTGATATTCTCGGGCCTTGTCATAATGACCAAGTGACTGGAACAAAGTTCCTAGGTTTCCGTAACTTGTTGCTTCTCCATGCCTGTCGCCAATTTCTATTTTGATAGCGAGTGCTTTCTCCTGATATTCTTGGGCCTTGTCATAATGACCAAGTGATTGGAACACAGTTCCTAGGTTTCCTGTCGCCAATTTCTATTGTGATTGCTTTCCCTGATATTCTCGGGCCTTGTCATAATGACCAAGTGACTGGAACAAAGTTCCTCCATTGTTGCTTCTCCATCCCTGTCGCCAATTTCTATTGTGATAGCGAGTGCTTTCTCCTGATATTCTCGGGCCTTCTCATAATGACCAAGTGATCGGAACACAGTTCCTAGGTTTCCGTAGCTTGTTGCTTCTCCATCCCTGTCGCCAATTTCTATTTTGATAGCGAGTGCTTTCTCCTGATATTCTTGGGCCTTGTCATAATGACCAAGTGACTGGAACAAAGTTCCTAGGTTTCCGTAGCTTGTTACTTCTCCATGCCTGTCGCCAATATCTATTTTGATAGCAAGTGCTTTCTCCTGATATTCTTGGGCCTTCTCATAATGACCAAGTGATTGGAACAAAGTTCCTAGGTTTCCGTAGCTTGTTGCTTCTCCATCCCTGTCGCCAATTTCTATTCTGATAGCGAGTGCTTTCTCCTGATATTCTCGGGCCTTGCAATAATGACCAAGTGACTGGAACAAAGTTCCTAGGTTTCCGTAGCTTGTTGCTTCTCCATGCCTGTCGCCAATTTCTATTTTGATAGCGAGTGCTATCTCCTGATATTTTCGGGCTTTGTCATAATGACCAAGTGACTGGAACACAGTTCCTAGGTTTCCGTAGCTTGTTGCTTCTCCATGCCTGTCGCCAATTTCTATTCTGATAGCGAGTGCTTTCTCCTGATATTCTCGGGCTTTGTCATAATGACCAAGTGATTGGAACACAGTTCCTAGGTTTCCGTAGCTTCTTGCTTCTCCATGCCTGTCGCCAATTTCTATTCTGATAGCGAGTGCTTTCTCCTGATATTCTCGGGCTTTGTCATAATGACCAAGTGATTGGAACACAGTTCCTAGGTTTCCGTAGCTTGTTGCTTCTCCATGCCTGTCGGCAATTTCTATTCTGATAGCGAGTGCTTTCTCCTGATATTCTTGAGCCTTGTCATAATGACCAAGTGACTGGAACAAAGTTCCTAGGTTTCCGTAGCCTGTTGCCTCTCCATGCATGTCGCCAATTTCTATTTTGATAGCGATTGCTTTCTCCTGATATTCTCGGGCTTTGTCATAATGACCAAGTGACTGGAACAAAGTTCCTAGGTTTCCGTAGCTTGTTGCTTCTCCATATCTGTCGCCAATTTCTATCGTGATAGCGAGTGCTTTCTCCTGATATTCTCGGGCCTTGTCATAATGACCAAGTGACTGGAACAAAGTTCCTAGGTTTCCGTAGCTTGTTGCTTCTCCATCCCTGTCGTCAATTTCTATTCTGATAGCGAGTGCTTTCTCCTGATATTCTCGGGCCTTCTCATAATGACCAAGTGATCGGAACAAAGTTCCAAGGTTTCCGTAGCTTGTTGCTTCTCCATCTCTGTCGCCAATTTCTATTGTGATAGCGAGTGCTTTCTCCTGATATTCTCGGGCCTTCTCATAATGACCAAGTGACTGGAACAAAGTTCCTAGGTTTCCGTAGCTTGTTGCTTCTCCATCTCTGTTGCCAATTTCTATTGTGATAGCGAGTGCTTTCTCCTGATATTCTTGGGCCTTCTCATAATGACCAAGTGATTGGAACAAAGTTCCTAGGTTTCCGTAGCTTGTTGCTTCTCCATCCCTGTCGCCAATTTCTATTTTGATAGCGAGTGCTTTCTCTTGATATTCTTGGGCCTTGTCATATTGATTAAGCGATTGAAACATTTTCCCGAGCCTTATGTAACATACTCCCTGGCCATGTGTGTCTCCAATCGTTTTCATGATGTTGATTGCTGATTCGTAAAATTTCCAGGCTTCCGTGAACTTACTTTGCACCCGAAGTATTTCTGCTAGTTTTAAATGTAGCCATCCTTTTTCAGCGGTGTTATGAGAGTCTAGGTAGAGGAGGAGTTTTTTTAAGGTAGTTTTCTGTATTTGTGTAATCCTTTATATAATCGTAAGCACAGATTATTGCCAAGTAGATGTCACAGAACATAGTGTTTGCCAATGAAATATGGATAACCAGCACCTGACTATGTATTATAATCAAACATTCCTTGTATACTTCGATGGCTTGCAACACACGACCAGTTTTGCGAAGGAAGTCGGCGACCACCATACCTATGGAGATAGCTGATATGGCTTCTTTCATGCTGTCCATCTTGACCATGTTTCTTCTCAGTTTGAAAAAAAGGAGAAATTAGTGAAAACTTAAACACCGACTGTTTGTAAAAAATCTTTTAAGTTTTAAATTTCAAATTGCAATTTTTATCTTCCTCTCCCCGCCTTGTATTTTTTTTCTTCGTATTAACAGGCGGTGCACGTGATTTCACAATAAGCAAATCACATCGAAGAACTCTAACCTTGACATTGGAAAACTGACGTGGACATTTTTGGCGTAGTTTTGTTGCTTGTTTTAACGGAGTTTAGATAATTGTTTTTGAGGTTTTGTTTGCGCTATTTTTTGAACCGTTAGTTTTGAATTTTGAGACATTTTTATTTAAGCAAAATGCTGTGGTTCATTTAACAAGTTTAAAACATATTCTCTGCGGAGTTTGGACTCTAGCGTCTTTTTTTTGTAAATGGATTTTTTACATTGTCCGTCAAAGAGGAACACACCCTTGCCCTCTGTTCTATTGGAGTGTTCGTTACACTGTCACGCCAATCACGCAAATCAGAGACCAATTGGAAAATTTAACTGGATAATAGAACACAACAAGTTTTATTTGACCTGCTGATTCCTACTTAGTTTACAGCAACTCAATTCAATTGTATGAGGGAGCAATGCTCTTAACCGATTTACCGGGCTCTCAAGGGAGCTATTGTTCCAGAAATTAAATAAGAAAGCAGGTTTCCCTTGAGCTCTATATATAAGCTACCTCTGTGTGAAGGTCCTGTGAATAATCAATACGAACTTTATTTGATGATCTTGCATTTTGATTGTGTATATCCTTGAGACAGATGCATTATTTGTCGATGTTTTTTGGAAAAAATATCGTAAGGTATCGATACATAAACAATGATTTTTTTCCCCTAATATATCTCATTCAAAAGAAGAAGTCGTAGTTTCTTTTTAAACAGGGGAGGGAACAGTGAGATTTCTATATACTGTTAATGTTGTTATTCATATAATTATTTATAATTATTGTAGCTTTCATAACGATATTAGTGTTGTTTGGATTTCTAAAACAGTCAGCATCGATGCAAATTACCTTTTGAAGTTAGAAACGTTCCTTATTCATTTTGATGAAGGCAAAGGGACTTGTATAAGATCTTCCGAAGGAGATCAACTTTTTCCTGGAAAAAAAGAAGAAATAAAAATTCATGGTGAAAATTCGGGAATTTATCAAAACTGTTTTTGTCCCTATTCACGCCATCAAACTGAAAATAACCGGAACGAATTAGCTTAAAGCCAAGAAGCATCGAGAAGATTTATACCAATCTGGCAAAGTCTTTCTTTCGGAGTCAATTATTTACACTGAATAGGCGATCGCCCAAATTTCGGACAAAAATCGATGGGGTGCAGTTTGAGGAGGCCAATTTTGTTCCCTTTCATAGTCTGCAAATGTAATGAGCGTAAAGTAAATAAATATTGTTTGTTTTTGCTATAAAAGTTATATGCTATATAAGTTACCCATTGCGTTCTGGCAACGGGTAACTTATACCCATCCACGGGTCTTATACCTACCCAGGAGCCATTAATAGCCAGTAATGAGCTCTTGACCCACCCCAATTATCTATTAATAGTGGAAAGTGAAACTTCCAGTGAATTCCGAGTAATCAATATCACCTGAACATCAGAAGGAAAATCGTTCGTTCTTTGAAGGAAGTTTCAATGAGATTAAGGAATAGAGTCTGTGGAAAAAAAACTCGACCCATTCAGAAAAAAAGCTTTTCAAGAATTTAAAAATTATTTTCAAATTCGTGAAAAATTTCAATGTGTTGTCTTTTAAGGGCACAGCACTTATCAACCCACTCGTTCCTCTTATTTACAACTTTGTCTTCGATGACGCAAATCGCACTTGCTGGCAAATGAAAAGCCAGAAGCCTATTACCCGGAGCCTCCATACCAATTTTTACTTGAGCCAACCCTGTACCGTATCTTTTTATTTTGAGAACTGAAATATGTGGGGGGGTTCTTTAATTTCCCGCGAAAACATCCTGACTTTCCGCGCTTTTCGCCATTATTGAAATATTTTCGTGCGACCTGCATGTGACGTAAACAATAGATGACCACAACTCTCCTATGATTGGCTATTATGTAAACGCCCGCCAAAAATCCAGTGGGAGGTGCTCCTAAAAATAAAAGATACGGGACAGGGTTGACTCAGAGGGTAAGTATGGAAGTTGAAAGCTCCGGTTAATGGCTCCCGGAACAGCTCATAAAGAGATAGTCATCGAGAACAAATAGCTTATCGTTTCAAGACAGAAGCTCCAATTCAGTATTGTAACAACTCTTGATTGTAATTTTGTGTTAAAAATCCAACGGTTCTTTTAAAACGATGTATACTGAGACCGGATGTTACCTGCAACCAAAGTGAATTGTTTCATTTTTGCATGCTCACATCCATCATCGATGGATTAGATGGCACAGCTTTAAAAGTAGGATAACAAATATCCGTCTGTCCTTATCTTTCCTTCATTGGAAGGAACGCAATAAAGTTTATTTAAGCTTTTGTGATGGACACTGGGAATTAATTTTTTTTCACATAACGGTTGGAATTCTGCGCGAGGTTGGTGCGTTAGTAGAAAAAAATCCATGGTGAAAAGTCGGGAATTTATCAATATTATTTTTTTGTCCCTTGTCACGCCATCAAACTGAAAATAAACGGACTGAATCGGCTTTAAGCCAAGAAGTATCGAGAAGATTTATATCAATCTGGCAAAGTCTTTCTTTCGGCCTCGATTATTTTGCACTGAATAGGCGATCGCCCAAATTTCGGACAAAATTTGATGGGGTGCAGTTTGAGGAGCCAATTTTGTTCTCTTTCATAAACTGCAAATGTAATGAGCGTAAATGAAATAAATATTGTTTCTTTTTGTCATAAAAATAATAAGTTGCCCGTTACGTTCTAGAAACGGGTAACCTAAACCCACCCCACGGGTCCTATACCCACCCAGGAGCCCATTATACCCAGTAATGGGCTCTTGACCCACCCCAACTATCCATTACTATTGGAAAGGGAAACTTCCAGTAAATTCCGAGTAATCAGGAGTACCTTTGAAGGATCTTTGAGAGAGGTTCGATAAGATTTAGGAAAAGAGTCTGTGGAAAAAACTTGACCTATTCAGAGAAAGGCTTTTCAAGAATTTGAAAATAATTTTTAAAGTCTTGAAAAATATCAATGTGTTATCTTTTAAGGATACAACACTTATCAACCCGGCCGTTCCTCTTATTTACAACTTTGTCTTCGATGACGCAAATCACACTTACTGGAAAATGAACAGCTTATGAAGAGATAGTCATCGAGCACAAATAGCTTACCGTTTCAAGACAGAAGCTCCGATTCAGTACTGTAACAAGTCTTGACTGTAATTTTGTGTTAAAAATCCAACGGTTCTTTCAAAACAATGTATACTGAGACCGGATGTTACCTGCAACCAAAGTGAATTGTTTCATTTTTGCATGCTCACATCCATCATCGGTAAAAAAGTTAGACTTACAAAACCGAAATACATTTACGTAGATTAGATGGCACCGCTTTAAAAGTAGGATAAAAAATATCTGTTTGTCTTTATCTTTCCTTCAGTGGAAGGAACGTAATGAATTTTATTGAAGCTTTTGTAATGGACATTCTAAATTCATACTTTATTTTTGACATAACGGTTGGAATTCTGCGCAAGGTCGGTGCGTTAGTAGAAAAAAACTCCATGGTGTAAAGTCGGGAATTTATCAACATGATTTTTTGTCTCTTGTCACTCCATCAAACTGAAAATAAACGGACTGAATCGGCTTAAAGCCAAGAATCATCGATAAAATTTATACCAGTCTGGCAAAGTCTTTATTTCGGAGTCAATAATTTTGCACTGAATGTGCGATCGCTCAAATTTCGGACAAAAATTTAGTTCCCTTTCATAGACTGCAAATGTAATGAGCTTAAAAGTAATTAATTTTGTTCCTTTTTGCCATAAAAATAAGTTCCCCGTTGCGTTCTGGCAACGGGTAACCTATACCCACCCCTCGGGTTTTATACCCACCCCAAATATCCCCTACTATTGGAAAGTAAAACCTCCGGAATATTCAGAGTACTCAGCAGTACCTACCATCAAAAGGAAAAAATCACTCGTTCTTTAAAGGAAGTTTCGATGAGATCCACGAAAATAGTCTGTGGAAAAAGTTGACCCATTCAAGAAGGGGGTTTTTCAAGAATTTAAAAAGAATTTTCAAATTCTAGAAAAGCAACAAGCTACGGAAACCTGGGAACGTTGTTCCGATCACTTGGTCAATATGACAAGGCCCGAGAATATCAGGAGAAATAGAATTTTCAACTTTTGATAATTCGGCTAATCGCCCGGTGCACTAACTGTTCAAGTTTAAATCGTTTGCCCGAATAAAGACAATATATAGACTCAAATAGATGACCGATGTTGTACATTCTTTTGAAAACTTTTCCTTGTAAGAGTGGGTACGGTTCATTATCCACCTATCCCTTCCCTCCCTAAAAGAGGTATAACTCGTTCATCATCACTTATAAGAAGCTAAGCGAGATCCTCTGGAAAACGAACAGCTCATAAAGAGATAGTCATCGAGCACAAATAGCTTACCGTTTCAAGACAGAAGC